AGGAGAACAACTCATGCCAAGCTAAATGCTCCAAAACTCGTACTGCTTAACGTTTTCTTTATATAGGCAAAATGAGTCAAGTTCAAGCAATGAATAAACTTGGCTACACCAACAACCTTAGTCAACATATCAGCGGGGTTGTCTTTAGTTGGAATCTTCTGGAGAATTATCTCTCTTTCACCAACGACTTCACGCATGAAGTGATAACGCACACCTATGTGCTTGGTCCTCGTATGATGAACCTGATACTTAGCCAAATAAATGGCACTCTGACCATCACAGTGCACCTCCACCTGCTTCTGATCAACCCCTAAATCTCTAATCAGTCCATGTATCAAAATGGCCTCCTTTATAACTTCAGCAACTGCCATCTATTCAGTCTTTGTAGTGGACAAGGCAATAGACGACTGCGAAATAAACCTCCAACAAACTAGCCCTTTAGCCATAGTAAACACATAGCTTGTAGTAGACTTCCTTTTATTCAAATCACCCACATAATCTAAATCAACATAACCAACTGCAAAGTGACCAATACGAGAGTCATCCCTCTCAAAGCATAAACCAACATCTCGAGTACCATGGAGATACCTCAATATCCACTTAGCTGCATGCCAATGCTCTCTTCCAGGATTATGCCTATATCGACCCACCATACCAACTGCATAAGTAATATCCGGTCTAGAGCATACCATTGCGTACATCAAACTGCCAACCAAATTTTCATATGGTATATTTTTCATTTGTAGCTTCTCTTGATCAATTTTAAGACATTGTATAGAACTCAATTTAAAATGAGAAGCCAAAAGGGTACTAATCGGTTTGTTGAATCATGAACTCCAAACTTTTGAATCAACTTCTCCAGGTATTGTCTTTGATTCAAGCATACCAAACCCTTCTCTCTATCTCTAGTGATCTCCATGCCAATGATCTTCTTTGCTTCACCAAGATCCTTCATCTCAAACTCATTTTTCATTTGCTTCTTCAATATTTCAATCTCTTCGACATTCTTTGAGGCAATCAACATATCATCAACATATATCAACAAATAAACGAAAGACCCATCTTGCAACTTCTTGAAGTACACACAATGATCATATTGACTTCTAGAATAATTTTGGCTCCTCATAAATTTATCAAACCTCAATTACCATTGTCTTGGAGATTGCTTTAAGTCATAAAGTGATTTCTTCAACTTGCAAAACAAATTCTCCTTCCCTTTTACTTTATACCTATCCGGTTGACACATATAGATCTCTTCATTCAAATCACCATGTAGGAAAGCCGTCTTCACATCAAGTTGCACAAGCTCAAGATCATATTGTGCAACAAGAGCTAACATAATACGAATTGAGGAGTGCTTCATAATAGGAGAAAAGATTTCATTGTATTCAATGCCCTCCTTTTGTGCATACCCTTTAGCAACTAATCTTGCTTTGAATCTCACATTGCTTTTCTCATCAACACCTTCCTTCTTGGCATACACCATAGCTTTCTTATCGTTAGACAATTTAGCTAACTCCCAAGTCTTGTTCTTCAAGAGAGAATTCATCTCATCACCCATGGCATTGCACCACTTCTCCTTTTTCTCACTCTCAATGGCTTTCTCAAAATTGGATGGAATCTCATCAGTGATAATAGGAAGAGTAAAAGCGGCATAGTCATTATACTGAGCTGGCTTGGTAATATGTCTTTTTCCTTTGTTTTTGGCAATAGACTCTTGAGGTGAAACTTGCTCTTCATCTTGAATGAAATCTTCAAGTTCAACTTCTTCAACATCCTCATGGTCTTCCACTTCTTCACTTGTAGTGGCTTCGACATTAGCGAACATAGGATTTGAAGTACTAGAGGCAAGTTTCTTAAGCTCCACATGTTGGACATCTTTCACATTCTTCTCAGAGTCTCTGAACATACTTTCTTCGTCAAATGTCACATCTTTGCTGATTACAAGTTTCTTCAGACACCACAACTTGTAACCTTTGACACCACTACTAAAATCACAAAAGATAGCCTTTTTGGCTCTAGGATCAAGTTTATTTTCAGTTGCATGAAAATAAGCAGGTGAACCAAAAATACGAATATAGTCATAATCAGAAGAAGATTTTCTAGTCCATACCTCCATTGGTGTCTTATCCTGAACATCAGTTGAGGGTAATCGATTGATGATGTGACATGCATAAGTAACTGCCTCTACCCAAAACGACTTGCTCAAACCCAACTGAAACAACATGCATCTTACCTTCTTAAGCAAGGTTCGATTCAATCTTTATGTAACTCCACAACATAACTCCATTTTGTTGTGGAGTTCCCCGGACACTGAAATGTCTCACAATCCTTTCCTCTTTGCCAACTTTAAAGAAAGGGTTGGATGTGTATTCTCCGCTATTATCCGATCGCAAAATTTTTATCTTCCTCCTAGTCTGGTTCTTAACCATTTTCTTCCAACCCAAGAAAATGCTCAACACCTCACTCTTGTGCTTCATTGTGTAAACCCAAGACCTTCTTGAATAATTATCAACAAAGGTCACAAACATATGTCTACCACTCAAAGAGGAAGTCTTTGTATGACCCTAAACATTTGAATGCACATAATCAAGAATGGCCTTTGTCTGATGTATTGCAGTACCAAACTTCACTCTAGTTTGCTTCCCCAAGACATAATGCCTAAATCAAGCTCACAAATAGAGAAGGAAATATAATGAATAATTTCTTCTCTATTGATGAACCAATATCTATACTATATATTTTTCCCTTTTATATTTCTTTTCTTGTCTAGTTTAGTTAGAAGTTAGAAGTATTTGTGATACTTTTGCCATATGGTGTTTCTAGGAGCATCAGGATCGAGTTTGGTGAAAAAGTATGCAAATGGTGGAATTTTTCAATGATTCCCGTTGGAGCTGATTCACAAGATATCGAAGATAATCATCTCAAGTTTTCAGCTTAAAATTCCCAACCAATTGTTCCTAGTTTAAGAACGAAAACAGGTCAGTGTGTTGATGGGACAATTTGGACCTCTGAAGGTTGCATGAGAGATAAGTACATAATTAAAGCCTAAATTCGGAAACTTTCTTCTTAGCTTTTAAAGTAGATGTTTCAAGCTTTCTAAGGACATCTCATTCATTGAAATCTAAGGACTTTTGGTATACTAAACGTATCGAGGCAGGGCACGTTCTGTTTGCCCATTTAAATTAGGAAGTCAATTTTAATTGACATTTATTTTGTGTCTCCTGATCTGATCTGGAGTGTGGATGATTGGAGTCTCTTTTAAGTATGCATTAGGGGGATTTAAATAGGTAGGGCGATAATAATAAAGAGGGGGCTGTTTTCAGAGGAGGCGATCAGAGAGCTTAGGAAGAATTCTTGTAAAAAAGGGTTGTTCTTTTTCTTTGATTCTTCATGGATAATTCCGTATTTATTTAGACAAGTATGTATAACTAATTTCCTTTTGCTAGAGTGAGGCCGTGAGCCTTAACATGATTACGTAGATTTCTCTTTTAATTGCTTAAGTGTTGTTACATAATTGCATTGACATTTTCAAAATTCATTGAATTAAACTATCTATGTATCTTGATCTTTGATCACCATTAGGATGCTTAGAAAAGTCATTGGATGCAATTTTGAATGAATATCACATTAAAATTGGTTATTCTTCTTGTGATTGAGGATTGTAATTTCTTCTAAGGTTAATATCATACTTTTAGGGATATCCAAATGTCATGGATAAATTGCATGTTGTGGTATTCGTTTTAGCTTGAATGTCACAAGTAAACTACACAGGGAAAAACCCAACCTTCAAAGCATGTGTGTTTTTGATTACTTAAGCAATTGCAAGATCTACGTAGGAGTGTTGTTGGTAAAGGTTGAACTCTAGTGCCTTGTCATTCTAATTTTCTTCAGTTATTTTTTTTTTTATCTTATGTTGCTACATTTACTTGTTTTGTTTAATTGGATCACTATTTCTATAAGCTAATTCCCATTTTAGATATTTGTTTAAGTCACGTACAGTAGGTTTTAGTTTTCTCAATAGTGTAGTTCTTAGAGTTAACTAAGTTAAATATTCCAAAACTTGTAAATTGTTTATACTAGTCCTTGAGGAGATCAACCTTGCTTGAGCCATTCTATACTACAAAAACTTGTTCTCTTGCAAGAATTTTCTTTGGTTTAACCTTTCTTTTACTGGTGGTAAAATTTCTATCAAGAAATTGGCGCCGTTGCTGGGGACTGCGCCATTAGTTCTCGAGGTTTTGTGTTTATTTTGCTTATGCTTATGATTATGTCTTATTTTTATTAGTTGTTATTTTTTATATATAAAAAAAGACAGAAATTTGTTGTTTAGTTAGTTTCATTATAAATTTTATCTTTTATTTTTATTTTTGTTGTGGCATAATATTTTGGTTGTTTGTTCAGGTTATAGGTAGTATATGGTGATTGGAACAATGTCCAAGAATCAAGTTCTTGCTCCTTATGACCCTGAACCAGAGAGAACTGCAAGGAAGTTAGCTAGAGAAAGATATTTAGCACAAGATTCCAACCCTTGCGATATTTTTCTTAGGGAGCTGTTTCGTGATCATGAGAGCAGCACATCTATGTTCCAACCTTTGGCCCCAGTTGCAAACATGGCCCTAGCCTTACCTGCAGTAGATCAACCTTTAAGGAATTCATTGGCAGCGAGAATCAATGCAGTGCCATGGTGCATTGTATATCTAGATGTGGAAGATGGGACAACCTTTGAAATCAAACCTCACATCCTCAACATATTGCCGTACTTTCATGGGTTGCCAAACAGTGACCCCAACATGCATTTGACTGATTTTTTTGAGGCATGTGACAACACCATAATCAGAGGTTTCTCTCCTGAAGCTATCAAGTTACGCTTGTTCCCCTTCTCTTTGAAGGACAAAGCCAAGGCGTGGCTGCATTATCTCCCTGCCAATAGCATTACATTATGGACAGAATTGCAAGAAATATTTCTCAGTAAGTTTTTTCCCTCTTCCAAGACTCTTGCACTCAAGAAAGAGATATTGGCTTTTGCTCAAAAGGCAAACAAGTCTTAACATGAAGCTTGGGAACGGTATAATGAGATGTACATAAAATGTCCTCATGCTGGGTTTGATTTTGACTTTCAAGTGAACATCTTTTATGATGGTCTCAAAGCCACCACCAAGAGTCAAGTGAATGCATCTGCTGGAGGGTCACTAATGTCGAAATCAGCAAGGGAAGCATTTGAGTTATATGATATGACGGTGTCTGAATCCCAGCAATGGACAGAAGAACAAACACAAAAGAGGGGAGTTTTGGAGATTTCTCAGAGTTCTCCAAATGTTTCTGCTCAAATTGCTAAACTGGAGAAGAATTTCAATGCCAAGTTTGCTGCCTTAATGCAACTCTCTTCCATGCCCAATGCCCTAGAAGTTTGTATCATTTGTAGCGAGACAACTCATGAAATTACTCAATGCCCCAACAAGGATAGCTACCCTGATCTTGTGCAAGAGCATGTGAATATGGTGAATAATTATAATAGACCCAGGAATGTCCTTCATTCCAACACATATAATCCTGGGTGGAAGAACCATCCCAATCTTAGTTGGGGTGGCAACCAACAGCCATATCAATACCAACAGTCTTACCATTCAACTAGTGAGATAAAGAAATCATCTGTTGAATACCAAATGTCACAACTAGCTCAACATATTTCCACTATCTCTAATAGCACCAACAATTTTGTCCAATCCACACAAACTAGCATTCAGAATCTCACGACATCAGTGGGGAATTTAGAGACTCAAGTTGGACAGCTTGCTACCAAGTTCAATGAAAGAGAGAAATGAAGGTTCCCGAGCTAACCTGAGCAAAATCTAAGAGGGATGAAGCATTGCAAAGTCATATGGACATTGAGAAGTGGCAATAGCTATGACAACAGAGAAATGGTGCATCATGAGGCTGAAGAGGAAGAATAAGACTTTACTAAAAGTGTACCGTTGGCTGCAAAGTCTCGGTGAGGGGTTGTTTCTGCAGCGGGTATTCCAGATCCTAGCGCAAGTGACAAAGTGCAATCTTAACCCAACTTTGATGCAAACAAGGAAACGGGTCTTGGCAGTTTATTTGCTCCTTCTGACAGGCCATCGTACACTACACCTTTGCCATTTCCGCAACGACAACAACAACGTTCCAAGGATCAACAAGCCATTGAATTCATGAAGACGTTGGCTAAGGTTCAAATCAATTTGCCTCTATTACATGCTATTAAACAGATCCCATCATATGCCAAATTTCTGAATGAGCCATGTTCTAATAAGAAAAAGTTCTTGGAATACGAGAAGGTGATTTTAAGTTTTTAACTGAGCAATGCAGTGCTATCCTCTTACATAAGCTACCACTAAAGAAGAAACATCCATGGAGTTTGACTATCTCTTGTACTATTGGTAGTCTTAATTTTCATAAAGTATTGATTGATTTAGGTGCAAATGTTAAGCTTATGCCCTATTCTGTGTTTCAAAAATTAGGTAAAGGAGAACTCAAGCCCACATCTGTGAGTCTTCAATTGGCAGATAGGTCCCTAACCTATCCTTTGGGTATTCTGGAAGATGTGATTATTAAAGTGGATCAATTCTATCTTCCACCTGATTTCATTGTACTTGAGATGGAGGAAGACAAGGAAGTGCTTCTCATATTAGGCCGACCGTTCTTGGCCACTGCCCGGGCATTTTTTGATGTGGAAGCAGGTACTTTAACCTTAAGAGTGCAAGGAGAGTCAGTTGTGTTCAAACTCTTTGAAGTTGTCAAGCGTTCTCTCGCACCAGAAGAGTGTTTTTGTGTTGATGTTTTGGATGGGATAGTGCATGCAAACTTTGCCTCACGATCGTCTAACGATGAGCTGTTAACTTGCCTCACCATCCATGATGCTTCTTTATATATTGAAGAAAATATGGTGGACCTCATTGCTACATTAGTTAGTACACTAGTTCAAAATCCAAAGTGGCGACATGTTTATGAAAGCCTTGGAGTGCCTAAGCAGCCACTTCTTCCTTCAAGTGAGCAAGCTCTCAAGTTAGAGCTCAAGCCATTGCCGAGCCACCTCAAGTATGCTCATCTCGGGGTGAATGGGACCTTGCCTGTTATTGTTGCCGTTGATCTTAGTGATACAGAGGAAGACAAATTACTAAGACTTCTTTGCAAGTATCAAGATGCTCTAGGGTGGACACTTGCTGACATTAAGGGCATTAATCTAGCTTTATGTATGCATAGAATTTTTATGGAGGCTGGGACTAAACCAATTGTTGTAGCTCAAAGACATCTTAATCCTATCCTGAAGGAGGTTGTAAGAGTTGAGGTGATGAAGTTACTTGTTGCAGGTATCATTTATCCAATCTTGGATAGCAAATGGGTGAGCCCGACTCAGCTGGTTCCAAAGAAAATTGGTATTACTGTGATCAAGAATGATAACAATGAGCTTGTGCCTACAAGGATGACCACCAGATGGCGAATGTGTGTTGGCTATGCAAAGCCCAATCATAGCACTAGAAAGGATTATTTTTTGCTGCCATTCATTGATCAGATGCTCGAGAAACTAGTCGGTCATTCTTTCTATTGTTTCCTCGATGGTTATTCAGGGTACAATCAAATTCCAATTGCCCCTGAAAATCAAGAAAAGACAAGGTTTACATGCCCCTTTGGTAAGTTTGCATATAGACGGATGCCATTTGGATTGTGCAATGCCTCTGCCACTTTCCAACGATACACGGTGAGTATTTTTTTTGGAATAGTTAAAAAGATTGTTGAGTTTTTTATGGATGATTTTTCTGTTTGCAGTGATTCTTTTGATATATGTTTAGATAACTTGTCCTTGGTTTTGGAAAGGTGCAGGGAGACTAAGCATCGCATTGTACTAGGACATCTAATTTCAAGCAAAGGAATAGAAGTTGACAAAGATTGATGTGATAGCCAATTTGCCACCACCCACTTCTGTGAAAAGTGTGAGATCTTTCTTGGAACATGCTGGTTTCTATCAAAGATTCATCAAGGATTTTTCTAAAATTAGTCGTCTTTTTTGTAATTTACTTGCTAAAGATGCTAGTTTTGATTTTGATGCAGCTTGTCATGAAACTTTCAACAAATTGAAGGATCTTCTCACATCAGCCTCTATTATAACAGCTCCAGATTGGACCCTTCCTTTTGAGCTCATGTGCGATGCTTCTGATTACGTTGTGGTGTTGTCCTTGGTCAGGGACGAGACAAGCTTCCTCATGTTATATATTATGCCAGCTGCAATTTGAATGATGCTCAACTAAATTATGCCACTACGGAAAAAGAATTACTTGCAGTGGTATTTTCTCTTGAAAAGTTTCGATCGTACTTAATTGGTGCTAAGGTCATTGTGTATTCTGATCATTCTGCTCTCAAGTACTTACTGTCTAAAAAGGAGGCTAAACCACGATTGATTCGATGGTCATTCTCTTGCAAGAGTTTGATTTGGCGATCCAAGATAAAAAAAGGACATGAGAATGTTGTGGTGGATCATCTCTCAAGATTAGTAAACGTGAGCACTGATGAGGCAGATTCATTGCCTCTACAAGAGAGCTTTTCAGACGAACAACTTCTAACGGTTACTCATCAAGTACCATGGTATGCTGACATCGCAAATTATTTGGCATTTGGAGAAATACCGTCAAAGTTCAATTACCAACAAAGGAAAAAGTTCCTTTCCACTATAAAACACTACTTTTGGGATGAGCCATACTTTTTCAAGCATTGCCAAGATCAAATCTTTTGTCGGTGTGTTCCCTCAGGAGAACAAGAAAGCATTTTGAAGTTTGCTCACCACTGTGCATGTGATAGTCATTTTGGACCAAGAAGGACAGCGGCCAAGATCTTACAGAGTGGTTTCTTTTGGCCATCTTTATTCAAAGATGCATACCTATGGTGCTAGGCTTGTGATAAGTGTCAAAGAGTTGGCAATCTTTCTTAGAGAAATGAGATGCCTTACCTGACGAGAGTATTGAATCCACCACCAATCTCTCCACCACATCTGCTGTCAAAACATGATCCCACTATTCTCTCCATATTGTTTATGTAAATAATCGATTGGGGTGGTGGGGCGTGTAGAGGATCGAACGTTGGGAGGCGTTAGCTCGTGAGAAAGGATGATACCGTATAGAGAAGAGTAGGGAGAAGCAGTTTGTTTACTAATGAAATTCTTGATCTGCTTAACATATTGATACAAGATATATACAAGCCTATAGTTGACTTTATGCAACATAAAAGGTAACTAATAACCCTTGATTATTTACATAAACAATATGGAGAGAATGGTGGGATCATGTTTTGACAGCAGATGTGGTGGAGAGATTGGTGGTGGATTCAATACTCTCGTCATTAACAAAGTATTTTGGTAATTGAACTATTTGATGTCTGGGGTATAAACTTCATGGGACCTTTCCCTTCTTCACATGGCAATCTTTACATCTTGGTGGTAGTTGATTATGTCTCTATGTGGGTGGAGGCAATAGCTTCTCCCACGTGCAAAGGTTCTGTGGTGTTAAGTTTCTTGCAAAATACTATTTTTCCCCGCCTTGGAGTATCTCGTGCTATTATCAGTGACCAAATGGCGCATTTCTTAAACCGCACCATAGTTGCCCTTTTTACCAAGTATCATATTCACTATCCCATAGCCACTCCATACCATCCACAGACATCTGGACAAGTTGAAGTATCTAATTGTGAGCTCAAGAGAATTCTTGAGAAAACTGTAAGTTCATCTCGAAAAGATTGGAGTTTAAAGCTTTCTGATGCTTTGTGGGCATATAGAACAGCTTATAAGACATCAATTGTGAAGTCTCCTTTCGTTTGGTGTATGGGAAAGCTTGCCATCTGCCTATGGAACTTGAGCACAAGGCATATTGGGCTATTAAGCACCTTAATTTTGACTACCAAGCAGCACGAGAGAAGCGGAAGCTGTAGTTGAATGAACTGGAAGAAATAAGGAATGATGCTTACGAGAATGCAAAGATTTACAAGGATAAGACCAAGAAATTTCATGATGCTCACATTTCGGAAAGAGTTCCATCTGGGTTAGAAGGTTTTGCTTTTTAATTCGAGATTGAAACTATTCCTAGGAAAGCTCAAATCGCATTGGAATGGTCCATATCATGTCATACCGGTCCATCTTCATGGGGCTGTGGATATCCAAAATATGCAAACTAGGTTTGTCTTCAAGGTTAATGGACATCGCTTGAAGTTATACAGGGAGTCTCCATATGATCTTGCTAAGGATTCCATCACTTTGAAGGAACCTGTTATTTGAGTCAAATTGCCAACATGTGTCTAGCTCTAGATGCTAACTAAAGCTCTTTTGGGGAGGTAACCCAAGTTTTCTATCTTTCCTTTTTAGTTTGAAGAATTTTCAATTTTCTTGTTCTGTTTTTCTCTTGTTTTATGGTTTGTGTGTTTAAGTCCTACTTTTGATCCCCTGATGTGGGTAATACTTTTGAAGTCGATCTACCACAACTTCCAGCAAAGTATCTTAATGCCACGGGTCACTCACACAATTGTTATGGATAATGAGACGTGTTGAAGTAAGTTTGGGGGTCTCACGGTTTTTGAAATGTATTTTGGGGTGATTTGGGATTATACCATGGAACCAAAATGCAATTTTTGCTGCTGCTACCTTGCCTACACGAACTTGTGTGTTCTTTCCTTTTCTTTATTTACCTTTATTTCGTTTTATATTTCTGTCGTTCCATTCTTGTTTCTCATTGTTCGAAATTCCTTTCATTATCATTGGGGACAATGCTAGAATTAAGTTTTGGGGTGGAATTACATATTTCGTTAGTTTACCTCTTAATTATTTTGAAGAAAAAAAAAAAAACCTCATTTTTTCTTGCATTTTTTGTTGTTTGTAGCTACTTCTCAATTCAATGATGGGAATTGATCTTAATTTCCTTCTTACATCCGAGAAGTCTAAGCATAACAATAGTTCTTTTCATTGTCTTTTTGTTAACTGTACTTTCCAGCAATCATCCTTGAAAAATAAATGTGCCTAGTCTTGTCAATGTGAAACTTGAGCATTATTTAACGTTTTATATGTGAATCATGTGAGCTTATGTAAACCTTGTGAGTTTTTTGAGCCTATACATGATTGAACCATTATGCATCAATCTCATTTGTTCTTGTGATCTCATTGTACATGTATCTCTAGAACATGCTTTATATCTCTTGATCATTTATCAATTCATGCAACTGACTTGGAAGTGATATCGGCATTTCTTTCTTTCGTTTGAGCCTTTCAAGCCATCCTTTCTATTATTTGTCCCTTAGTTAGCCTTTTGAGCCTCTATATAAGCCTTCTCGTTCTTCAACCTAAATTTTCTCTACCTAGCCTTGTATTAAATATTCCTACCCTTTTCTTTTCTTTTCTAAAGAGCTTGTAGAGTAATTCAATAAAAGGAGAGAGTTCAAAGTTGTTAGAGCCAAATATTGTAGAAAAAGAAAAAGAAAAAAAAGTGAAAAAAAAAGGTGGTTGTTTACTGTAAACAGAAGAAAAAAAAAGGAGAGGTTTCCAAGATCAATCGAGTGAAATAAAGTTCAAATTTTGATGTGCTTCATGGGTTTAAAGTTATTAATCTCTCGAATATGATTGTAAAGCTCTACAAGTTATTTGGACTTTATTTTCCATGCCCTTCATTGTTTAGCCACATAACCCTCAACCTCATTACAACCTTATTAAAGACCTTTGATCTGAGTAGTTACTTGTTATTGATATCGAGCTAGGAGGACAAGCATGTATATGGCGGCATGTACAATGAGAACACTTGAGTGAAACACATTAACCAAAACATACGAGTGAATGAGCGTATATCTTGTGAGAAGCTCACATGTTTGCATATGATGATTTAAGGGAGCTTGGAATTGCATTGACATGATTAGCTCACACATGACATTTCAAGTTTTGTTTGAAGGAAATTTGGTTAACTATTTGATGATGCTTTGAGCTCTTGTTGCTAAGTTCTTGGCTGTTTATTTCATGGTTGGCACTTATCTCTGAGATCGAAATCGAGAAGTCAGCTACTAAGTTGTTGAGTCAAGTCTTAGTTGAGTAGTTTTGTTTTGTTTTGTTCTGTGTTTTGTTTTGCTAGAGGACCAACAAAAATTTAAGTTTGGGGGTTTTTTGATGGACCAATATCTATACTATATATTTTGCCTTTTATATTTCTTTTCTTGTCTAGTTTAGTTGGAAGTTTTAAGTATTTGTGATACTTTTGCCATATTGTGTTTCTAGGAGCAGCATGATTGAGTTTGGTGGAAAAATATGCAAACGGTGGAATTTTTGAGTGATTCCAGTTGGAGCTGATTCATAAGAGATTGAAGATGATTGTACCAAATTTTCGGCTCAAAATTCCCAACCAATTGTTCCCAGTTTAAGAACGAAGATAGGTCAACGTGCTGCCGGGACAGTTTGGACTTCTGAAGGTTGCACGAGAGATAAGTACATAATTAAAGCCTAAATTCAGGAAACTTCTTTCTTAGCTTTTAAAGCAGACGTTTCAAGCTTTCTAAGGACATCTCATTCATTGAAATCTAAGGACATTTGGTCTACTAAATGTATGGAGGCAGGGCACGTTCTGTTTGCCCATTTAAATTAGGAAGTCAATTTTAATTGACATTTATTGTGTCTCCTGATCTGATCCGGAGTGTGGATGATTGGAGTCTCTCTTAAATATACATTAGGGGGATTTAAATAGGGAGGGCGATAATAATAAAGAGGGAGCGATAATAATAAAGATGGCGATAACAATAAAAGGGTTACAAACCAATGTCTATCACTCAAAGAGGAAGTCTTTGTAGGACCCCAAACATTCGAATGCACATAATCAAGAATGGCCTTTGTCTGATGTACTGCAGTACCAAACTTCACTTTAATTTGCTTTCCCAAGACATAATGCTTGCAGAAATCAACCTCACAAATAAAGAAGGAAATATAATGAATAATTTCTTCTTTATACGTATAACTTAAAGCTATTACAGCAACTACTACTTTGGGGGATGATTACTAACCAAAGAGAGGAGCTCTTTTCAAATGGGGGATGCGGCACCCCTTCTTCTCTGATGCTCTGCTGCTCTCTGCATCTGCAATCAGAAAATGCTCTCTCTTTTCTAGTGCTCTCTCAACTCTCCCTCGGTATCCATTTTCACCAAAGGCAACAAGTGTGGGAGCCAAAACCGAATTCTCTGCCAACAACAAAACCAGCCTTCCCTTTTTTCTGCAAACATCATCATTACCCTTTTTATCTTTTCAACAAACATCATCATTATGTTTGTATTTTATTTTTAATATTTCTTTCTAGCCGAAGGGCATTTGCCACTAAATCCAACACAGTATACCCACTGAAAGCTAATATAACAAAGATTTGTTGAAAAGATATATTGTCAAAGATCCAATGGGTTCGAAATCTGTCCTAATTTCCATTCTTGTGATTCTTCTTCCTACACTGTCCATGGCAAAAGAGTTTGTCGTCTGAGATACACACATTGTGAAAGTACATTGTGATTATTTTTTACGGAAAGTGGCGATGATGAGTATAAAAACATATATCCAACTAATTCTGCTTTATACCTAACATTCGAGAGGTTCTTGAGTAAGGAAACTGGGTTAGAGGATTGTGAAAGGAGGAGAAACCAAAAATGGGTCAGTGTAGCATGACAAATTAGAGAGATTAGAGTATAAGTTGTGTTTTTTGTGTCTAGATCTGCACGGACACATGATCTGGTTGTCGGATTCCAGAATTTCTCGTAACATTAGCAGTCCCATAGGTTAAGTGAATATGGACGCAAATAAAAGAGAAGAATAGGAATGAGCTCATTTGTATACACATGAGTAAGTTCAATCTTAACACACCCTAGAACAAATTCAAATTACAAGTGACTTTTAATTAATGCTTCTCAGCAACATGCGTAGATGGCAAGTGTTACAGGATTACATAACCTCCAACAGCCACGCCCACAGCAACAAGTGCAATTGATCCGAGGATTCCTCTTTTGCTGATTTTCAGCCCGAAAAGCTTACCGTTGTATACAAATAGCTCAGACTTGTCGTCGGAATTGGAAATCATCAATGGTTCCCTTTTTGGCAGTCTTATGGTAAGGACACCATTGCCAAAACTTGCATGAATATCCCTAGTGTTATAAACATTGCAAGGAAGTTTGAATTTTTGGCGGAAGCGGCTCCATCTACTTCCACACTTAGGACGTTGGCCTTCAATCTTTATTGATCCCTTGTTGTCGTTCAAGAATAGCTTGAATTGTTCCATCTTGAAACCTACCAACAAAACAAAAAAGAAAAGAAAATATGTAAAAAAAAAATCACAAAGCAAAGAACATGAAAAAGAAGAATACCATGGAGAGGTATCTGGTAAATGTCGAATCGTTCCTCTTTTAGGAACTTGCAATAAGGCATAAAATCCTCGTAAGAACGTATAATGTTCACTTTCTCGATCTTCTTGTATAGCTTGCTTGAGAGAGTAATCTGCTCAGCCTTCAGATCATAAAGTTGTTCCTCCAGTTTCTGGATCTCGGCAGCTATCACTATTATCCAATCCTTCATGGCCAAGCCCTCCTCCACCAGCTGCTGCAGATTAGTGGAGGTCCGAGTGTGCTTCTCCTTGTAGCATCTCACCCTGTTGGCTTGCCTTTCGGCTTTAAGATGTTGATCCCTCAAGGCCCTTAGATTTTCAAAGAAGGAAATGAAGGACTCATATTGCACCTTAGTCATCTGCTGGGTTTGGTATAATTCAGTGAGAGCTCTCTCAGCATCTTGAAGAGCCTTAAGGCTAAATGAGGCAGAAAAGTCCTTCTGCATAAATTCTTTGAAGATCCTGCGCTGATCTTGAAGATGTTGAGGCTCAGAAGGACGCCTTGGGGATCGTAACTTCATCCTAATTTGCCCGAACTCTCTAACTAGTTCAGGCAAAGAGGTCGTGGCTGGAAGAGAAGCCATAAGAGAAGGCATCACGCCAGCGCCACCAGAAGCAGCAGCAGCAGTGGCAACCTCAGTAGGAACAGAATGAGAGGATTCAGCAACAGGCTGAGAAAACCTGCTCGAGCCCTCACCAGTGGCCTGTTAAAACGCAGAGAAGACAAATTAATGGAGCAATATTGACCCGAATTAGGAAAAGACAAGATTGCGAGTATGTTTGTACCTAAGAAGGGCCTTGTACTTTGGGAGAAGGATGTGTTGATGTAGCTGGTCTAGGTTGGGACCTCCCCTCGGGCTCAGAATCAGAAGATTCTACAACAAAAGATCTTGGCCGACGAAGAGAAGATCTTGCTCGACATGGTCTTTGCTTCTGACTCATATTCACCGTTGGAATCCATGTGATAATCAGTCAGCTAGCTGCTTTTCTAGGTTTTTGGCTCTGTCATAGGCATATAAAATATGTAGCTTGATCATTTACAGGTTTCTTGTAGGCTTGGTCAATCTACAAAAATCCAGAATTTTCTTTAGTTTGTCTAACATCCTAACCCTTATATCTTGCTTAATTTCTGTCTTTGCATTTCTTTAAAACAAGGCATGCACAGAATCTTAGCTAGTTGATGCCTTTCTAACTTTTTTTTAGTTCAATAAAAGTGTATTCAGCTTCAAGGGAGCTGACGATTGGATCGATCATTATTTCCAATGTGTACGTATTTACAATCCTAAGCATCTATGTCCGTTAGAATGGTACATATACCCATCATTGCCACATCAAATGGTACATTAATGTGGTCTCTCTAATATTTTCCTCATAAGAAGCTTATTTTTGTGACATTTTTGCCCCGCATTGTAAGCATCTTAAAATTCCGCATTGTAAGCATCTTAAAATTCTTGCACATGTTCATGCCGACAAGACTATGTTGAGGCTAAGTTCTTACCCCGCGTAAAGCAACCACAAACCTTAATCGTGAGAACTATTCATTGACATATCACTTGAAGCAACCACAATTAAATTCACCGCCTCTAACCAAGAAAGTATTATGGGTTGGAAGAAGGAGCAACTGAGAAAAACATGACCTCTAATATCCAAAGGTCGTTGTTAGAAGTTGATCAAGTCAAGAATAAACCAAAACATCATTTCCCAAGCTCATTCGTTTCCTTCTCTAAGACTATACACGTGAAAGCATAAATTATAATAAGCCGACCAAATATACTTTTAATGTTAACACAATATGGTAAGCCGACCGTAGTCGGTCTTCAAATTTGCCTCTACTTCAAGGCTTTGGATGAACTTTACAACAAAAACTATATTATAAATAGATCCTCAGCATACCGCAGTGGTATCATCAGTATACCCACTGAAAGCTAATATAACAAAGATTTGTTGACAAGATATATTGTCAAAGAGCCAATGGGTTCGAAATTTGTCACCCTAATTTCCATTCTTGTGCTTCTTCTTCCTACACTGTCCATGGCAAAAGAGTTCGTCGTCGGAGATACACACATTGTGAAAGTACATTGTGATTATTTTTTACGGAAAGTAGCAATGATGAGTATAAAAACATATAGCCGACTTATTCTGCTTTTTACCTAACATTCGAGAGGTTATTGGGTAAGGAAACTGGGTTAGAGGATTGTGAAAGGGGGAGAGACAAAAAATGGGTCGGTGTAGCATGACAAATCAGAGAGACTAGAGTAAGTTGTGTTTTTTGTATCTGGATCTGCACGGACACATGATCTGGTTGTCGGACTTTAGAATTTCTCGTAACATTAGCAGTCCCATAGGTTAATTGAATATGGGCACAAATAAAAGAGAAGAATAGGAATGAGCGCATTTGTATACACATGAGTAAGTTCAATCTTAACAAACCTTAGAACAAATTCAAACTACAAGTGACTTTTAATTAATGCTTCTCAGCAACATGCGTAGATGGCAAGTGTTTTTGGATTACATAACCTCCAACAGCCAAGCCCACAGCAACAAGTGCAATTGATCCGAGGATTCCTCTTTTGCTGATTTTCAGCCTGAAAAGCTTGCCGTTGTAGACAAATAGATCAGACTTGTCATCGGAATTCGAAATCATCAATGGTTCCCTTTTTGGCAGTCTTATGGTAAGGACACCATTGCCAAAACTTGCATGAATATCCTTAGTGTTATAAACATTGCAAGGAAGTTTGAATTTTTGGCGGAAGCGGCTCCATCTACTTCCACCCTTAGGACGTTGGCCTTCAATCTTTATTGTTCCTTTGTTGTCGTTCACAAATAGCTTGAATTGTTCCATCTTGAAACCTACCAACAAAAAAAAAAAGGAAAAGAAAATATGTAAAAAAAAATCACAAAACAAAGAACATGAAAAAGGAGAATACCATGGAGAGGAATCTGGTAAATGTCGAATCGTTCCTCTTTTAGGAACTTGCAATAAGGCATAAAATCCTCGTAAGAACGTATAATGTTAACCAGTTCACCGTTGGAATCCATGTGATAATCAGTCAGCTAGCTGCTTTTCTAGGTTTTTGGCTCTGTCATAGGCATACAAAATATATAGCTTGATCAGTTACAGGTTTCTTGTAGGCTTGGTCGATCTACAAAAATCAAGAATGTTCTTCACTTTGTCTAACATCCTAACCTTTATATCTTGCTTAATTTCTGTCTTTGCATTTCTTTAAAACAAGGCATGCACAGAATCTTAGCCAGCTGATGCCTTTCTAACTTTTTTGTAGTTCAATAGAAGTGTATTCAGCTTCAAGGGAGCTGACAATTGGATCGATCATTATTTCCAATGTGTACGTATTTGCAATCCTAAGCATGTATGTCCGTTCATTACAGGCTCTATTTATAAAATTCCTCCTTAAGACTTTTTTGGTATATACGAGACTTTGGCTGCAAAGGTATATGCTCTCAAACGCTAGCTACATGCCCCTTGCTCTCCTTAGTAATACATAGATGAAAAGATAATCGCGGTTTGTTACCATAAATTCTCAGTGTGGGTACAAATGGAGTCAACACCACCAAGTGATGCATAGCATAGCGGAGCCAAAGACCTAGCTAATTCTATTTTTAAACTTCCCCCTTTGTTCTAAATTCTCATATAATTATTTGAACAAGATAAAAGTATAGTTTTTATTTCACAACAAATGAGCAAATACCACTGCAAGAAAAATGAGCAACAGTTACCAAGATTAGTAGTTGTTTGATTGGTTTTGGTGGCGTAAAAATGATGTTATTAATGAAAGATATGTGGCAAAAGCTAAAAAGTACGTAATAGCACACCACAATAGTGATGCATTTTTTTCGGGTAAAATCTTAAAGTCAATCTAACTCTAGCATTGTTATCAATGAGAAGTGACAATGAGGTAGCTTTATTTAAAAAAAAAAAAAATTACAATCAATCAAGGAGGACATAGAGCCTAACTTGGCCATGGTACCAGCCATAACAAAACAAACCCTCCAATAACTAATATAAGATATAACAAGACCAACAAAAAATAACTTATCTAAATGATAATATGGAAGCCTTACATAATCGTGATGATAATATGGCAATACGAAAGCAAAAAGAGAATCTCACCAAACAAGACCAGTAAAATATACTTCTTTTTACCATTGACTACCTTTTTCTCGTTGGTAACACATTATTATCCCGACAACATTGACTAATTAGTCTTTATTGGTTCTTTTTGCTTTGGTTAATAATCATATCTGGTTCCCGGTTTCATTTATTTTTTTATTTTTTATTATTTTGATCACGAAGACAGCTTTCATTACAATAAAAAATAGTACATGGCCCAAAAAGGACCGGGCAAACAACTACAGGAAAAGTATAAGGCCCAAACAAAATGAGAGCATCAACCCAAGATACAATCGGAGGCTCACACAAGCTTAGGCTCGAAGGCAACAGAAAGCAGACAATAAAAAACACTAATCTCCAGCAGCAAAGATCACATTGCCATGGCTGTCACATCCTCGGAGGAAGCCAAACTCCGAATTGAGAAAGTAGACACCAGATCCAAGTCCCCTTCACAAACCCCTACAAATATATACAAAGAAAGTAACATATGGGAAGAAGGTGAGGCTAAGGGGTATGTAAAATACCCAACACTTAGCCTCAATGGAGATCCAACATGCTAGTTGGGGGAAGGGAAGTGAGAGAGGAGGAAGTAAATCTGATATCCAATTTCTGATCAGAACCTACCGATCTAAGCACATGGTGGGATGGGGATGAAGTATCATAGCTAGGGAGGATGGAGGAAGGGAAATAAAACAGGTGAAAAAACGCTTGGATAGTTGAGACTCAGCTCAAGAAAAACTGAGATTAAACTCAAGGGAGAACCGAGAATTAAAAAGGAATGGAGAACACTGGAAAAGATAAAGGAAGAGGAGGAGGGAAGCAGGGAAGGGGAAGACATATGAGATGAGGGGAAGGAAAAGAGGGAAAGTGCGAAGGAAAGAGAACCTAAGAAAAATCAGGAGGAAAATGAGAAGGAGGAAAAGAAGAAAAGAATGAAGGGAGGATGCCTCCTAAGCCAAAGGCTAGGGCCGGCAACGAAGTTGCTGGGGTTCTTTCACATAGAGAATTTTAGGGACATAGAAAAGGGGAGACTTTTTAGAGAGAAGAGAAATTCATTACTACCCATTTACTTTCACATTTTGGTGGAGTGGTTCTTGATCTCTATTTGCTCAGTTTATCGTTTTACGATTTAACAAAACGTATTTCTACATATTTTAATCTTCATTATTTGATTTTCACACTTATATCATCTCCAACACTTGAGTTAAAACTTAAAAATTTTAAAAAATTTAGGTTTTAACCTAGAAACAGTTTTTCTCCTCCAACTTTTATGGGTTAAATTTTTAGCCCGAAATTATTAAAGAACGAATTTAGGATAATTTTTTTCTTAAAGTAAATTTAAAAAAAAATGTGTAGACTATCCTAATTAAATTTTAAGGAAAGCTAATGAAAATGGTTTGAAAACTTTTAGTTTTAACGATAAGGACAGAATAAAGGGTAAAGTGAATAGTACTATGATTGACTTTTTAGTGCAAAAATATGGTTTTCCATTAAAGTGAACAATACCAGAAGTTTTTCGTTAAAGTTCCCTAAATTTTATGAACATTTTAACCTAAAAATATTTAGATTCCGATAAATATTGAAAAATCACTAAACCGATTTCATAAAACTCGTGAAACACTATGAAATAATATGAAACACACATAAAAAAAATTAATTACTTTAGCCAATGTATTTAAATTTGGACCGTTATGTATCTTTTTTTTTTTTATCGTTAGATTTGATCATATTAGATTTTAACTGTTGAATTCATAAATTTTGGTTCTCACTGCTCTACATATAAATCCAAACCTTGACATGACTATATATAGCCCTCATAGTTGATCTATCAAGAATTTTAGTTTATCCAATTTTATTTGACTTCTATATATTCCTAATTTCATGAATTAAACTTGCCACGCCATCCATCTTGGAGTAAGACTTGAATTGTGATTCAATTATAACAACATATTACCACTTCTTTAACTTCTTGGGTCATCCTTTATATATTGGAAGAAGCTTCAATTAGTTCTACCAAACAAGCCCCAAATTCTTTCCGGTAATTGAGATTAGTCTCTGATTGTTTGATAATCCTCTATATATTTGATGAAGCTTCAGCTAGCTTTTACCAGATAACCCCTGATTTCTTTATGGTAATAGAACTTCGTCTCTAATTGTTTATTGTCTGATAAGATTATTATAATATTTGGGTTGTTGGATATGTTGGGTTTGAATTGAGTTTTTGTTTTCATTTTTCAGAGTGACGGATTTTTGAATGAAATGCACTCAACCATGAATTCCAATGGGGGTGGCTGAAGCAGCTGCCGGATATGACAAATGGCAGCCAAGGTTCCCTAAATTGCCCATCCCTTTAGTTTTATGAAGTACGACAATTTGATATAAATATATATATATATATATATATATATGTATATGTATATAGAGAACTTACATCTCTTGACAAATTGTGTGCTAGATAGTTTTTCACGTACTTGATCAAAATAAAGTTTATCATGTTATTCTGTCCAACTATTGATTTGTAACAACATTATGTAAATACTTTTTATAATACATTTAGTCCTGTATTGAAGACTTATATACAATACTTATATTTCGTTTGACATTCCGCGGCAACACGCTGGCTAAATCCCTAGTTAATACTAAGATTAGGGTAAAATATATAGTAACATATTGACTCATCTTTACATAAGCCCTAAATTAACAAGTTTACATCTTTAGCCAAGGCAGCTATCATAGAATGATAAGTCTGCATGATGGTAAAAATGCGACCTGGCTCTTCTAAAGCTATATTGTTGTTGGCTAGCTGGGTTTCAGACTCCTCCACTTCGTGGTTTACTTTCTTCACTTTCTCGAGCTTCTTGTATAGCTTGCTCGAGAGAGTCATCTGCTCAGCCTTTAGAGCAGAAAGTTGTTCCTCCAATTTCTGGATCTCGACAGCTACCACTATTATCCGATCCTCCATGGACGAGCCCTCATCCACCAACTGCTGCAGAGCAGTGGAGGTCCGAGTGTGCTTCTCCTTGTAGCACCTCACCCTGTTGGCTTGCCTCTCGGCCTTAAGATGTTGATCCCTCAAGGCCCTGAGATTTTCAAAAAAGGAAACGAAGGACTCATATTGCACCTTAGTCATCTGCTGGGCTTGGTATAATTTAGTGAGAGCTATCTCAACGTCTTGAAGAGCCTTAAGGCTAAAGAAGGCAGAAAAGTCCCTCTGCATCCATTCTCTGAAGATCATGCGCTGATCTTGAAGATGTTGAGGCTCAGAAGGGCGCCTTGTGGATCTTAGCTTTGTCATAATTTGCCTGAACTCTCTAACTAGTTCAGGCAAATAGGTTGTGGCTGGAAGAAAAACCAAAGGAGGAGGCATCACACCAGCGCAACAAGAAGTAGCAACAGCAGTGGCAACCTCAGCAGGAACAGAATCAAAAGATCTTGACTGACGAAGAGCCATGGTCTCAGCTTCTGTCTCATATTCACCATTGGAATCCATGTGAAAATCAGTTAGCTAGCTGCTTTTCTAGGTTTTTGGCTCTATCATAGGCATATAAAATATATAGCTTGATCATTTACAGGTTTCTTGTAAGCTTGGTCGATCTACAAAAATCGAGAATGTTCTTACTTTGTCTAACATCCTAACCTTTATACCTTGCTTAATTTATGTCTTTGCATTTCTTTAAAACAAGGCATGCACATATTCTTAGCTAGCTGATGCCTTTCTAACCTTTTTGTAGTTCAATATAAGTATATTCAGCTTCAAGGGAGCTGACGATTTGATCGGTCATTATTTTCAAATGTTTACGTATTTGCAATCCTAAGCATGTATGTTCGTTAAATACAGGCTCTGTTTCTAAACTTCTTCTTAAGACTTTTTTGGTATGTACAAGACTCTGGCTGCAAAGGTATATGCTCTCAAACGCTAGCTACAAGACCCTTGCTCTCCTTAGTAATACATAGATGAAAAGATAGTCGCGGTTTGTTACAATAAATTCTCAGTGTGGGTACAAATGCAGTCAACGCCACC